AAAAAAGTTTCCATCTCTCTAGAGGGCTGGGTGAAAAAAACATGGCACATAGCATTGTATTGATGATGTTCTCTGTCCGCATGGTATAAAACTATTTTTCCATTTTCTTCTTTGCATATTACCCAAGACAGAAGGCATAATACAGCGACTGGAACGAATCATATCTGTGCCTGGAACTGCAGCAGAGAAGCAGATTTTTCTAACGGAAGTGATTTTGCCTGAGGTGAGCTATAGAGATGTGTACTAAATTAACAATTAGAATAGGAATTTCATTTAAAGCAAAGAAATTGATAAGCAAGTGATGGCTTTGAGGCCTCTATTTTTTCCCCCCAGTGTTGCAGAGATCAGACCAGGTGAGGACACAGAAAGCACCGACGAGGTAAGACATTTTTAACAACAGCCCACTTTTAACAACAGCCTCCCACCCCCAAAAAATTAACCTCACTTGATTTATTCAGCGGCAACACCTAAATGGGGGAAGCCTATAACCCATTCACAAACATCAAAAATTAATTAATCTTAAATAATGATCCTTGAGACTTTGCTTTTTAGGTTTTTGCTGATTATTTTACATGCATTTTACATAATTTTCATGTGTCATCAAAAAGAATAAAAATGGAGAATAATATAAACATGGTACATGAATGAAATAACATTTTTGTAATATAAAATATCTGGCAAATATCTGTGGGATTCCTGATAAATGATACATGACAGTTAAATGAATTAATTCTGAAGGAACTGGATTTGATTAAGATCCATTAAGGTCTTAAATGACACAAGAACTGATAGACAGCATTCATTATAACAAAAGATCATATATTTCTTAAAAATGTTGTAACAGCTTTGTGTACTCTTCACGTTTGAAGCATTAACATCAGTATACATGAAATAATTTGACCATATTTGTTATTTACTGCAGGAAATCCTTCTTCTGAGAGACGCCAGGACTGCAGCTGACTGGTGTAGCAGGAGAAAATGGGATGGAAAAATACAATTTCCCATTGTCCTTTCAAGAGAAAAGGAGCAACAAATTGCATCCCAATGCAAATTGCAGAGCTGGATGGGTGAATATGACGAAAGTTCTCCAGCCGAACTG